AGCTATTGCATGTTTATGTTTCCTAAGAGAGCAGATCTTAAGTGTTCTTACCCACATAAACAACAAAGGCTACTTTGGAGCAGATGGAGGTGTTCATTAGCTTTCAGTAAACATTTCACAAAATAGATGTGTATCAAAACATTGTATCATATGTTTAGATAAATATGAAAGAAGATACTTCGAGGAAATTAAACAATATCTTCAAGGTAAGACTATATTTAGAAAAGTCACTTTTGAAAAATCACATGAAAAAGCGGTAAGTCAAGGCCAAGAACAACCCACTGCTTTTTGTTTTGTTTTGTTTTTCTCTCAGTTCTGGGACTTGGATTCTGTTAGATTTTTTTTTTTTTACCCAAGAATAGCACTCTACTACTCCAGCCACCATTCTACTTCTGGCTTTTGACTGGTTAATTAGAAATGAAAGTCTCATGGACTTTCCTACTTGGGCTAGCTTAGAGCAGAGATCCTCAGATCTCAGCTTTCTGAGTAGCTAGGATTAGAGTTGTGAGCCATCCATGCAAAAGACCTCTGAGTCTTTTGCAACCTCTATCCATTTACAGTCTGCTTCATTCAAGTGATTGTAGGAATTTTTTATAAAAATTTTTTATAAATAAGAAAAGAATCTAACCAAGCATCTGGGAAACAATGTTTCTCATTGAAACATTGTTGGTTGTCTTGGAGAACCTATTTAAGTGTCTGTAGTGTTGGAAAATTAATAAGAAAGGGCAGGTACCTGTGAGGGAGTGTATACTTCTTACCTAATGTTCTTTAAAGCTATTCTTATCCCTTACAACTGTCTAAAAGAATTCCTTTTTTAGACTTTCTATGCTAGTTACCCCAAAGTATTCTGTGGTAGTGACTTCCAAAAGTAATTACATGTCACATAAAAATACGGCTCTTGTATCTATTTCAAGTTGGCCATACCTCACTCACTCTTCTCACACAGATCGTTTACAGATGGTGCTGGGACTTCCGATTCCTTAGTTCCTGCTATTGTGGCTTGCTAAGTTTTATTTTGATTTTTGTTTGCTTTTCTAAACATGGCTGACATTGCTGTTCATATTTGCATTTTGTTTACCAGATTATCAATATTGGAAATAGGATCCAAGAGTGGCTTTATCTTCTCCTCTCTTGCCGCATGCAATCATCTTTCACTAGGATGCCCCAAGCTTCTATGCTCTGGAGTTTCTTGAGTCTAAAGACTCACTAAACAGGTCTATTGAGATTTTTATAAATATACCCCAAATGAATGCTTAATGCTTTATACCATGATCCTTGTTCTTTGCTTAGTACAGCATCCAATGAGATGGAAAAGTCAAAAAGCTATTGCAGCTATATTTATAGAGAACTGCCAAGGTCAATATATGAATATATAAATCTTGTTGACTTTTGTTACTTGCTTAAGAATGAACTTCAATGGAACTATTGATGTGAATGGTAGTAGACATATACACAAGATATTTAAAATATTGATCAGATGAATAACGTGTTATATGACTATTTTGAAAGAGATAAAAATCAACATCCTATTACTAAATCATCTCCAGTATGTAAATTCTGGTGGAACATCATGGAAATTGCTGGCAGATTACCCAATGTCCTAGAAAACTCTCACCTTAGCTCTTTTGACTCAGCAAACACAAATTGTGTCAGTCACTGTAAGTGAGTAGAATAAAAAGCTTGCAGTAGAATAAAAAGCTTGCAAAGAGCTCAGACTTCACCACGGGAGCCATGCTATTGCTTTAGAGAAGTTGTGGAAATTGTGGGGTACCTCTAATGGCAATCTGGCTAGTGGTATTATGTCTCCAGAACAAGCAAAAATAATACTATACCACACAAATCTTCTGCAGTACTTTTGACAATTGATACAAATAATCTACTTGTCATTTTCCAAGCCTAGATCAGAACCTCATTTTATATATATACAAACTACTTTTGCATAATTGTTCTAAAGCTACTCAATTTCCTAAGAAATTAAAAGCACAAAATCTGCTAGAAGACTGAACTTGAGCAAGATTTTCTCAGCATTTCAGAAAAACCACAGTCCCAGAGCCAATGCGGATGCAGCTTTTGGGTCACCAGTACAATTCCTTGTCAGTGGCTGTTAAAGTGCCAGCATCACAGGACTTCTTTATGTCTCCATGAGAAGCTTGTTTTATTATAGATTAATTTGCTTTTATTAATCCGTTATAGGTGCACCAAAATATAGCTCTAGAACTTGGCACAGCATGCTTTCTTCCTCTCCCAGTGGTATTTGATACTATTGTTTCAGCCTAAGAAGTAAAATTTTAAAACCAAACTAAAATTAGCACCTATGTTTGAAGGTAGTTAGAAGTCTAGGAAGGTTGCTATGGATAGGGATCCAGACTGGGTGAAGTTGAGTGTATGTCAACTAGGGAGTATTCATTCTCGTTGAAAGGAAAACAAAAACAAAAACAAAACAAAACAACAACAAAAAAAAACAGGCAAATCCATGAGCTCAACCACTAGGAGAAAAGTGGGGAAGAAAACAAACAAAAAAAATCAAAAAGTCAGAGGTCCCAAAGAAAGACAGTTGGTGAAGCTTTCCTTAGAAGAAAACTCTTCCACCCTCCTACTCCTTCACCCCATCTCTTTATATCAGAGCATGAATTCAGAGCTCAGCTTTGAGAAATGGCATGACAGTTCTGGCACTGCATCATGGGACATTTCAACCACAGGTTAGCATGTTTCCAACTCACCAGCGGTACTATAAGGCACGATCGTGAAAGAAATGAGTGGATGTTGCTATCTTATCCTGCAGAGCAGGTCTCTGCGTAACCATACAGGGGAGCATACTAGGAAAGCCCATGGCTATCGTATTCATTTTAATCATAACCCTTCCCCTTCCATCACTGCTCCCCAGCAGCAGATCCTCTGCTCTTTACGTGAAATCTAGGATACTAATTTGCCCCACAATTTTCCCTACTGCTATTCTGGTGCTTTAGGTTACTTTGATTTTTATCCCCAACAAGACAACATTCTGCCCATCCTTCAAGGAGATGGTAGATGGTTGTCTCTCCTTCCTCTGAGTATCATCATCATCTCCTAAATCATTCACTTGTATCTACATTGTACCTTTATTATCTGTGAATGTAAAGCTAGAAGCTAGCGTTGACACAGAGTGGGAAGATCATGATGTGTCCTGGATACATGTATAACCTTGTAAACAGTTCATACAGAAGAAAACTAAAGCTCATGAGAAAAGTAACTTGGCCATTGTTGATGCTCAGGTAGAGATGGTGCTGAAATCCCAATTTAGGTCCAACTGGCAACTCCTTCATGAAACTTCCAGGTTGACCATTCATATTCACAAGTCATCCAGGGGATTTCTCTTTTGTAACTCTAAATACATAGATGCAATATTCATCTAAATGTCTGCTTTCTTGTTTAGGCTATGCAGACCACAGGACTGGTGTCTATCTTTTCTCTTTGCTCTTATGTTCCTGGGGCTTGAACTCAGGATCTGGGTGCTGTCCCTGAGGGTTTTTGATCAAGGCTATCCTCTATCACTGGAGTCTCAGCTCCATTTCTGTTTTTTCATAGTTAATTGGTGATAAATATCTCATATATCTGTATCCTTAAGCAGTTCATATATGAAATATTTGTCTACTAATATTTAGGAACACTTCTTAAGAATGCATTCGATTGAGTAGAAATCATGATTTTCAGACATCACTGATAGTATGCTCATTATTGCACCTTTAAGTGAATACAAAGGATTAGGAGGAATGAAAATATCCCCAATATAAATAATACCATTACTTATACAAGCTAATACCTAGAATGAATAAATAACTCACATCTTTCAACAGTGAAATACTATACAGTAATGTAAATGTACAAACTATTGTACCTCACAAAAAGAACTTTGAATGTAAAAGCCAAATGCAAAACATTCATAAAAATCCATGTATGTGCAATATATATATATATATATATATATATACATAATATGTGCATTTGATTAATGCAGTATTCTTGGACTCCTGTCCAACTTTTCCTGAGTGACTGTCATGTATTACCTATTTATGTTTGTGTATCCCATGGCTAAGTGTGAAATTACCTAGCTTTCCATTCATACTTTGTGGGTAGAGGTGGAAATTCAAACATTTCCACCAGTAAATCCAAAACACAAATAAATGTGGCTTAAACATGGATTTTCCTAGCCTGGTATGAATGTCTGATTCATGACTTTAAGCACTCCACACTCTACTGACATGAAAGAAATATTGTTTTTCATAGAATAGCTTATATACAAATCATAGATTAGTTTACATACAAATCTTCATAATGACTGACAAAGACTCTAACCTAAAAGAAAAAAGAAAACTAATGAAAAGTAAAATAATAGAAAGCTACACTCATTAACACATTATTTTATTTCCCAAAGAGCATTTTAACAAAAGTTTTAACTCTACTTAGCGCGGCACTTAAATTGTTTATTATATTCTTAAACACCATTGACCTCATTCCATCCATAGTTTCCGCATTATATGGCTGTTGAGGACTGGAATGATTTCTGTGAGTGATCAAGCTTTATTAAAGTATTGCATAATTAAGTGTGTGTGCTTGAGGAGAGAGAACTCTTTCCTCCTCTGCTAGGGGTTCAAAATGCTCTGTACCATATGTATGATATAGCAAAGCCGTGGAGACCTAAAATAACCTGAGGTGAAGAAGGCGAATAGAATAGAACCCATTCACACTAAAAAGTCTCCATCTCCCCCTTCTCTCTCCTGCGCAAACTCTGCGGGAACTTTGCAAGGTTAAAGGCACAAGGGAAGCAAGACACGATGAGAAAGAGATTTCCCAGCTCCAAATCCCTCCAGAGAGAGCAAAAGAGAGAAGTGGGGGAGAGAAAAGGAGGGGAAGAGAGAGAAGAGGGGAGGGGGGAGGGGGAGAGAGCTCTGGGCTTGGTACCCATCCCTGGCTGGAGGTGGGGAGAGGGCAGGCCACCTCTCCAAGGGAGGCCGGGGACTCACCAGGAGCGCGCAACACAGCCACTGGTTCATCGCGGTTTGGTTCCGGGGAAACCTCAGGCTCGGGCGGCGGGTGGCAGCAGCTGTGTGGGGGCCGGCAGCGCTAGGTGCCTCTGTGGAAGCCAGGGCTTCGGTGAGGTTTATATATAACGCCCCAGTAACAGGAAGTGTCGCTGGCCTTGCCTTTCATCAGTCATTTCTCTAGACTTTACCAATTTTGCACCTTTCCTTTTTAGGAACCCTGGGAGCGATCGGTAGGGTGGGTGGTGGTGAAAAAAAAACTCCCGGCTTAACCCTTTCAGAGCCAAGTGGAAAGAATCCCTTTGGAGAGGTGGGGCACAGGGCGGGATGTCTGGCTTTGGCAAAGGGGTGGGGAGGTGCGGGTCGCGGGAGGGACGGAGGGGGGGTGAGGAGGGCGGGGAGGCCACCAAGCGGTGTGGAACAAGGCAGCTGCAGTCTGTGCGCCCTGGCTCTGAGGTTTCCCAGCCTCTTCCCGCCATTGGCCAGCCTCCTAGCAGCTGGGACTGGCGGGGGGAGGGCTGGGCGCACGCTGGGCAGCCTCTGTGCCTGTGGCTCCTCCACCCAGAGCCTCCACTGAGCCAAGATCCGGAGGCCTTTGGAGTGTCCCAAACACTGTCCCTTCTCAGGGAGAAGGCTTGCCCTGTCACCCGGGCCCTGCTCTGTGGGGTTCTGAGAGCTCCAGTAACAAGGCCTGTTGTTTATGCGTTGCATTGCAGGAAGTTTGTAATTATTAGTCTGCGAGGTGGCTGAGGCACTGGAAGAAGCAAGGGTTCCAACTCCAATTGGCTCTGAAGCTGGTGTGTTTCCCCATTCATTCCTGTTTTCTGGGGTTGTCGGTCCCAGGGTAAAAGCAGTAGAATAAAACTTTACTGTCTAATTCAGGAAAAGCCTTGTAAGCCACTATGTTCTTCGCCAGCACCATCCTTAGAATGTTCCTGGTACCTTAGCATCCTCAACACTGACCTTGTAGATCTTGCCTCGTTAAGGCCGATTCCGCTGCGCAAAGCTGTTGAAAAGCTCGGTGCTTTGTATAAAGGGTTCTTGCCCTCCCCATCAACCTCCCAGCTGTCTTGAAGTTGGACCTGATGGCTTCCATACTGAACTGCCCAATTACCCAGAATGCCAGGGCCAGAGATCTCAGGCTGTCACATGAACCCTCTGTTTTCACATGGATGAAAATAAAAATCCCAGAAGAAGCAACTTCTGTCCTGACTAGGTGGGATCCTGCTCCACAAAAGTTCAAGGAAGGTGAACCACAGAGGCTTCCTGAGTAGGGGGATTGTTACCAAGGAATGACAATCGAAAAAGCAAATGGATGTCACTATATATTCTGGGGGAGGGGGGAGGGGAGTCTTCCTGCTCAGCTTTGTCCTTAAGAGCTGAGACATACCAGCACCTTAAATGAACTAAGGCAGATCAGTGAATGAGAACAAATTTGTATGATTCCCCTTTGGTCCCTCATAGGCTGAATTTTTAAAATATCCATAACCAGAACTACTAACAGGCTTATCCTGAGATTCAAGTAAATCCAATGGCAGTAGCAAAACCCTATCCAAATGGCAGTAGTATTGTTTCCAGTTAGGGTAATATTTATCTAGGATATAGTGTGAAGTCATTTTAATTCTCAAAAGAGGCCCATATGTGGTATTTAAACCTCAGACAAAACCAACCAAGGATTTCATCCTAGAAAATGTCCATGCCTCTCTAAGCCTTAGTTTTCTCCTTTGTAAGATAAAAGTAAAACTGATATTGCGCAGAAAGCAAACAGAAACATGTTTTTAAATATGGTACTTCTTCTTCTTCTTTTTTTTTTTTTGCAAACAACTGTAGTAACTCACTTGTGATCAGCAAATAAAATAACTCAGGTAAAATAACAGCCTAATGCCCAGCAGAAATTTACCTAGACTGGAGATCCCCCCCCCCCCCTACTGCCTGCCTATAGACAAGTTGACTTACTTATGCTTCCTTATCTGCATAATGACAAGAATAATCACATGTTATGCATGGGATTACTAACGGTTGTTATGAGGGCTCAATTAGATAAAACATGCAAAGCACTCAAAATAGGGTCTAGCACACTAATGCTGTTTTCCGTATTCTTAGTGTCTGAAGCCCTTGGGATATTTATATGGGAACGAATGATCTAAGGTCTGAGAACAGGAACCTTGTATTTTCCCGTGGTATTTATTCTCTGAAGCTTTTAGCTTACCCTCTACTTCCCTGTAATTCTCCATAGTAGCTAAGAGCTAGAGTGGTGGCTCCAAGGGGGTGGTAATTAGCGGAAATCTTGACATAGATCAGGGCATCATTTATCTAGAAGCACAAAATAGACTGAGTATTGACTGTGTATCCCAGACCCTGACTGTAGGCCATCCATTAATCACTTGCTGGCAGAAAACTGACAAGAGACCATGAGTTATTGGTCATTCATTTGTTATGTTCTGGGACCAATCTAGCCACCCCCCTGGGGTACTCCTGAGTGATCTGCTACTGTGTGCCCTGAACACTGAAGCTAGAGTTCATCTGGAGATTTAATTGGAATGGACCTTGGGATTCTGAACTGAACCCAAGGGCAGATGTTTAAACAGTCACCTGGCAGACTGCATTCATCTTCCTGTGACAGAAAGATCACTCACAGGCAGAGGCCATTGGTGACATTAAACAGTTAGTCCTCAAATTAACTTTCCTTTCTAGGTACCAAATACATGTGATGCCAACTTTCTGGGGAAGACCTCATCAACAATCCCCCATATTCTCTGAATGGAATCCTGCTTTGAACACACTTGCATTGCAAACATTTCTGATTATTCCCAACAACACTGTCCATTTCCTTCCCTCCGCCCTTCAATGTCAGTTACTTCCAGCACTAGAGAAATGGTCCCTGCATAGTGGGAGCTCCTAGGGGAGAAGTTCTTCATCTCTTTATCACAGCAGCTCAGCACTTCATATAGAAAGCCATTTATAATCATCATCATAATGGGAATAGCTGAAACTCAGACAGCGATTGATTTAGGTGATTTGAGAGATCAGGCAGGCTCTGAGGTGACAAGGACTCTGGGGTGACTAATCAACTGTCTCAAACATCTTCTTCTTACTTCCTCACCTGAAAACCAGAAATACTCATTTCCAAGACAGATAGACTGACAGACAGACAGACAGACAGATAGATAGAGTAAATATATGTATACATAGTATTAATTTAAAATCTTCATTATTCCCCAAATTCATGCAATACCTATGATATATAATGTGTAATATATACATACATATATGAAAGGATATTAACTTGAAGAACAGGAACATATTCCTTGTTCACTTTATGTTCTAACATAGCAAAAGAAGATTAGAGAGCTAGCTCACTGTTCTTTTACTAAGGCACTAATCTCCCTCTGAAGGGCTTCATCGAAATGTACTAATCACCCCTAAATGTCCTTCCTTTTAATACCATCTCCTTGAGCAATAGGATTTCAGATAAGAAATTTGGGCACGGGCCAGGCACTGGTGGCTCATGCCTGTAATCCAAGCTACTCAGGAGGCTGAGATCTGAGGATCGAGGTTCAAAGCCAGCCCGGGCAGGAAAGTCTGTGAGACTCTTATCTCCAATAAACCACTAGAAAACCGGAAGTGGCACTGTGGCTTAAGCAGTAGAGCGCTCGCTTTGAGCTGAAGAGCACAAGCCCAGAGTTCAAGCCTCACAACTGACAAATAAAAAATAAAAATAAATAAAAATAAAAGAAATTTGGGCACAATAACATTCAGTCCATAACAGAATACCATGAGCATCTGATAGATCCACACATAAACATAAAACAGGACACACTCTGAAACTGGAAATTACAGCCAAACTTCTGGTCAACCTGTAGACGTTGGGTGTAGAGAAATAAGGAGAACTTCAAGGCAGGAAGAGAGGGTCTATTGGTCCAATCATCAAGAGGAAGACAAAATTTGTGACCTCTCCTGCCATCCTCACTCATTACTAGAGTTTGTAAAACTGAATGCTGGCATGCTACCACTTGAGCCACAGCTCCACTTTTGACGTTTTTTTGTCAGTTGTGGGGCTTGAACTCTGGCCCTGGGCACTGAGCCTGAGCTTGGGCCTGAGCTTTTTCACTCAAGGATAGCACCCTTCTGTTTTGAGCCACAGATCTACTTCCAGTTTCCTGATGGTTAATTGGGGATAATAGTAAAACTTTCCTATCCCAGCTGGCTTCAAACTGAGATCTTCAGCTCTCAGCCTCCTGAGTAGCTAGGATTACAGGCGTTAGCCACCAGTGCACAGCTTTGGCTTTGGCTCCAACCCCCCAGTTAATTGAAGATGAATCACACAGATTTTTCTCCCTAGTTAATTGGAGATGAATCACACAGACTTCTCTCCCTAGCTGGCTTGCCTCGGTTAACAGCTTCCTGAGCAGCTAGGATTACAGACATGAACTAATAGGAAAGTTTTATTGAGGAGAAGCCTATCATGGCAAGTTAGTATAATGATGAGTGGCTAAGAAGGATTACTCTAGCCAAGCTTCTCATGAAAGGGCTCACTGAAGAAGCGACATTTGATCAGACAGAAGACACAGCGGGCCCAGATATCAGTGGGCACGGGGGAATGAGAGGGAAATCAGGTCCGGCTGTGGTATGGCTACAGGGCCATTCCACAGGCAAGAATGTGTCATGACACTAGGAAGCCACTGGTGTGTCTTAAATGTGAGAGAAGGGACCTGAAGGATCATCTTCTGAGAGGGAAAAGTGGCTAACACAACGCAGGACACTGGGTAATGATCACTGGAACAACCATCCTTCAATCTTTAGTTACAAGAAAGGGAGAATGAATCTTAGCTCCAGTATTTCTCTCCTTGGGTTTGATAAGGTCACTTGGTGACTCTTGAGTTTCTCTAGCCTCTGAGTTTCCCAGTTTGTAAAATGAATATTCCAGTCATGTAATAAAGCTATCTATGCCTCATGGGAATTCAAAGGAATCAACAGATATATATGAAAGAGTTTACAAGTCCTAATGCCCTATGTAAATTTCCATCACAACAAATAAAGGGCACTTCTTGGGTTCGACTTTGTAGTGAGCACCCAACACGGACAGAAGGGTATAAGACAACTACATGGCAAAACAGAAGAGATAGAAGAAAAAGACTTCAAGAGCTTTTGTACAGGCTTGACTTGATTTGGATACTACATGAAATATACATGCACTACAGTATTACATGATACCTTATAAATACTTTTTATGTATCA